TCAGTCTTAGCTCGTCACCCCCATCATAATCGAGTATGGTCGTAATCTAGGGGCCCTCCCCGGACATAGGCTTCCATCGAATCTGGTGGTACCAATAGCAGGGTCTATACCTATGCAACGCCATAGCCACCCAGAGATAGCCACGCCCACAATAGCCAACGCTTAGAACGTTACTCGCCCGTACCGCACTAGAGGGCATAGGCCAGAACAGGACTCAGACCGTTGGGAGAATACAGCCTCAGTGTTTCCCCTCTATTCGCAGCACGTCAGCCTCACATGCTCACTCAGAAACCCAAGAGCAATCTCCCTTTATAACACCCAGTGAGGCCGCGCCCCCTGTGTTCTAAACGAGAGTCTCGAGTATCCCTTTTTAAACTTCTGCACTCTGGTTTTCTATAACTTCTATATTAATTAATTTAAAGAAAAATAGTTTACTCAAAAAGAAAATGAAAAGCGAGGCGCCAATGGTCAAATCTCATTACCACAGGCTGGACATAGTAATCCCATAATGTAATATCGACGACGCACCTTTTCACTTCAAAAGCAGACCACCGACCTACTCCTACCGGGTGCCCGTATCCGATGGTAAGGAGGGGGCTTATGACCCTCCATGCGGGGGTGATAAGCCTCCTACCGATGCGGCCGCGGGTCGCCCTTCTTTTGAGGCCCGACCACGCAGCACTCAGTCAGCACATATTCTCAGACGGAATAAGTGGGGTCGGCCAATTCGAGTCACTGCTCCAAATTCAGACCGTTGGCTTCCCCGCGATGTGACAAGGAAGGTAAAGGAGGGCCGCGCCTGAAAACCGATAAAGTAATAATAACAAAAATATAATAATAATAATAATAATAAATAAATAAAAATCGCAGAAAAGGAAAGATGACAGTTCAAATTTCCTCCACGAAGCAACCTCGCCTGAATAGTGGTGCGAGTCCACGCACAAGTCCAAAACCCGGCTTTCATTCTTATCCCTTCCTTTTCCTTTTTACACTTCCCTTTTTCAAGCCCCACTATATCTGCCCTCCAACATAGCTACTAGGGTCCTACCGCGCGAAGCTTAGATGCACAAATCCAGTACAGGTGATATACGAGAGGTTGGGCCTACTTAGGCCACAATACTACCGCCCGAACCGTTAGCCCCCTTACGAAAGGACAGGCCAAAAAGAGAGGAACCGTGTCAGGTATCAACCGATGGAGATATAACATAAATAATAGTAATAATAAATAATAATTAAAAAAAAACAACTTTGAATGAATATTTAACGACGAACGACTATAGAACGTCGAGTTCTCTCGACCAGCAGCCGTCAATTCACATAGACTAGGCTCTCAACTATCATTTATTTTCCTTTTGCATTTTCGTTTTTATTTTTATTTTCTTAGCTTTGTCTTTTTATGACAGTGACCATTGGTCTGTGTGCCCGACCCATAACTCAGTGGAAAAGAACACGGCGCGCAGTAGAAAAACTACTTCGGCTCCTTTGCCTTCGCGTCCTAGGGCAGACCCGACGGCTACCACGGTTACAGGCCGGTTGTGCTCTGCTGTACAGCAGGGCGTCGAGCCGGCATGGACCAAAGGAAGACCCTGTGGCGCACCCCTTTTGTTGAGGGCAACTCCACAGGGACCGGTCCGCACCGAGATACAAACTGGATACTAGAAACAGCGGGCCCAAGACACGTCCATTAGACTGGAGCATCAGAGCGAGAACTGGTACCAGGCAGGGACTTGGTACATAGAGGAGGGCCGGGATACCACGCCCTCCGACAACGGGAAGGGGCAGAGAGGGGGTACGGGAGGCTGGCGCCTAGTCGGGTTGAGCCCGTTAGTCCACATGGCAAATAATCAGGAATATTTTAACCATTCATCGCATGCATGCAATCCTAGCAATCCGATCGGAAAGGTCAGAAAGAAGAAACAAAGGGTTTGGGGAGAGAGAAAGAAAAACTTATGTGTGGCGAGATGCGGCCACTATTTCGTGCTCAGATTGCACGTGGCTTCAGGGGTAAGCCGTAGGAGTCGTGGACTCCGGGCGGGGGGGG